AATATGACTTTTTTATATTTTATAATGGAATGTGCCAAAATTTGGAAAATCTTTTTTTTTTTTTTGTAGAGGTTTTTGCTATAAGGGTGCGTGCGCTCGCCAGACAGACAGAGAGAGACAGAGAGACAGAAAGCGAGAAATCACCCCCCAGGGGGGATGGTCATGCCGCAATCCCTTCTCCTCCATTCTCCTCTCAGGATCTTGGGCATGCACGCACACACGCCCGGCGTGAGTTTTAAGCCACCGGATCTGGGATGCAAACCACGGTCGACTACATGGGAGTCCAGCGACATAGCCATTATGCTAACTGCTGGTCCCAAATTTGGAAGGTCTTTATAACCAATATTTTCTGGGTGACCTATGAATGATATTACAAAATCATTCAAAATGCAAGACAGACCAACAATTTTAATGTAAACAATTACAAGAAGTTCATCAACATAGTTTCAGATTGTACATTGCATTAACTTTAAGAAATTGCCACTTGTCAAGTTTTGGTATAGAATCAAAAAATAATATCCATAATTATCCAAAAGTGTTATTTTAATATTCTTCTCTTTTCCAGCCATAGATCTTTGTGAGCCCAGATAATCTTCATACCTTTCAACCAAAACAACGTATCAAAACAGATTGAGTGCAGGGACCAGCAGGTGGTGTGGTGGTTAAGGGCGTTAGATTCCCACAGGGCTGAGCGCAGTTCAAGTATTGGACCTGGCAGCTTGCTCTCTCACGTTCTCTCTTTCTCTCTCTGCCTTGATCAAACTAAAAAATCATAATAATAATAAATAAAGTTAAGTAAAATATTAAAAAAAACAAAACAGATTGAGTGCAGAAGCAGATATGAGAATGCAATATTTTTTTTACTAAGCCAGACAATAAAGAGATTTTAAAAATTAGAAAACATTGCCACACTTCTCTGTGCTTTTAAGGTTTTGGAAAAATACTGTAATTTTTGGTAAAAGCTTATCATGAAATGCAATTGCTCATTTTGTGCACTAATTAATTTTTTTGAAACTCAGTTTTTAATTTTTAACATTGTAAGTATTCACAGAGATAACCTATGCAAACAGAACCTTTTGAGGTCCCCACTAATTTTTAAGGGTATAAAGGGGTCCAGAAACCAAAACATTTGAAAACCATTGGAATAAGGCAAGATAAATACTGTAACTCATTTTAAAAGTTTATTCATCTAGTTCTTCTGTGAACGAGAAAGAGAGAAGCACCCCAATATCATGACTCTGTGATACACACCCAGCCTTTGGCCAGCCCTGGGTCCTGGGCAAGCATGTGCCCAGTGTACTCAGGGAGGTCTTCAGAGAAACCAGAAACCTTCTCATGTGTGATTACCTTACGGAGCATTGCATTTTACTGCCACCAGTTGGCCCTAATTAACTCATACCCAGAAAGAGCAGCGTTAGAGCAGAGGAAGAACAGTTTAATGAAGGTCTATCTCATGGTTGTGGACAGCATTTCACAAATAAATTAATCTAAATAATGTTTAGTTGACTAGATTGGTAACAAAGAAGGTAATTAATTTAATCAGAAACCAGCAGGCAAGTAATTGTCTAAATACTTTTGTTCTGATCATCCCTTGATTTTATCACCCTCTTGGGAGAAACAAAATTAGAAATGTAATAAGGCCTGTTCTGCTATCCATGACCAGCCTCCAACTCCAGATTAGCCAGTGAGAATCTCATACCAGGCCTGAAGGTCTGAGTGGAGTCTGTTTCAATTAATGTTGACTTTTTACAGAACAGGAAGCAGTGAGATCAATGGATATTTGGCTGCAGTAGCAAATGGAATTCCATTGGTACCTGATGTCCAAGCAGGGTACCATGAGCTTGACATATTTTTGACAGATTGAGCCTCCACATTCTGCCTGTTATTGATATTGGTGTTTTTCTTATTGGTTTGTACACTACAAACCTTTCCCTTCTCAGTTTTGGTTTATATTCTCAGTGGTCATCTGGACAATGTGTCAGCCCTGAAAGCAAGAGACAGCAATTCAAGGGTAGCAGGCATGGCAAAAGCAAAGTCAACATCTCATTAAGATTTATATGCTCTTGTTTGCAAGAGTCTTTATTTGATCACTTTTCTTACTGCTGTTTATTGCAAAGTTAGTATCAAATGCCTGTTTTGAACTATGGCAAATCCAGTCTTTAATTTCTATTCCCAGAGTGTATAGAATAGAAATGAACATTTTCTGTTTTTTGTTTTTTTGTTTTTTAATTGCTAAAGAGTGGAGAGAGAAAGAGAGAGAGAGAGAGAGAGAGAGAGAGAGAGAGAGAGAGAGAGTTCTCCCATGGGGCCTGGACATACTGCAATCCTTCTTCTTTGTTTCTCCATCCTGTTGGATTTGGGGCATGCATTCACATGAGGCCTAGTGTATTTATCAAGCTGCCATAGCTGGGATTCAAACCACCATTAGACATATGGGATCCAGCTCCCTTAACCACTAGGCTAATAGGACCGGCACAATAAAATAAAATTTTCTATGAAAGCCAGACTGTATCACCCTATTTGTAGTTTTTAAGGTTTCCTTTTTCTTACTGCATGAGTGTGTTTTCACATCCAGTTTTACCAACCCCAGATCAAATCCTTTGTTTCAAATGTTTCTGATTGCTTTGCTAAGGTTTGGGGTGTGACAGACAAATTCAAGGAGGTCTTTCAAAAATTCATGGAAAATGCATATTAGGAAAATCTATGATGGATTTGAATGTTTTGGCAATAAAATAAACTCATACTTTAATTAAATTTTCCACTAATTTTTTTAAAGCCCCCTTGTGTGTATTAGTCTTGTCTGACTATAAGCTACCTTGATGATGAGGTCTCAAGAAGAGCGGATTTGGTGGTTGTCTGAGGCTGCTGATCTGCTAACCTCTGTGACTAGAGAACAAAATGAAAAATAATTTCTGTTTCTGACTTCTACTCTGGTGGTGGGTTTTACTTTGTTCCTGCTCATCTGGGATTTGAAGGTTTATAATATCTGTTAAATATACCCAAGCACCAATATTTTAGATCTAGGAGAAGCCTCAGAGATCAGACCCAACACTATCATTTACTATTGAGAAAATTAAAGGTAGAGAAGGAAATTGACTTGGAAGTCCAGGGTTACATGTGGGCAATCTGGGATGCCTGGAGTCTCCTTTTCACTGCCTTACAACTGCATGCACTTCAAAGACTTAAATCCAGTGTCTTTCTGAAGACCCTAAAATTGAGTCATTGAGCTCCAGCCAGATGTGTGTGCAGCCATGGTATAATGGATTTTTGGGGTGTTTTCCTCCCTAGTTTTCCTTCCTAGTTACCTAATAGCATCTACTCTTCTTTCCTCATTCTCAGTTCATGTAGTTTTATGGGCTAATTCCACCCCCTGGTTCCAGCCTGGACAGTGGCCAAGATGATTGGTAGAGGGATGAACATGTGACTCTGACTAACCAGAATCAGCCTGGGGCTGTTCGCTGTTGCTATGGAGAAACAGGGTATCCACTTGGTAGGATATACAATTGGAGGTATTCATGGTTGTTTTGCCTCCACTTGAAAAGAGGCTGACTGAGACACAAACCAACCCTGAGGAAAGCAAAGCTGAGGAAAGATTGAGAGAGAAAAAAAAAATAGGGAGAGAAGAGGAGAGAGAGAAGGAGAGGGAGGGAGATTCCTGGTGACACTCTTTGAGCACCTGAGTCTAGCTACATTTGTAGCAAGGACTACTGGGCTTTTTTTTTTTTTTGTGATATGAACCAATACATCCCTTTTTTGGTCTTTAGTTAGTTCGAGTTGGATTTCACTGGTAACTGAAATTTGGTCCACTTGGTATGCTAAAATCTGCTTACTGGCTGAAGCTTGGAGCCCTAGGATGACCCTGCCTGGTATTTGTTCTGGTACCTTGTAAAAGTGCTAGTTTCTGGGAGTGATTTGGCTTCTCAGGCATCCTGTCAGAGCCTGCTGATGTGTTGTCTCTGCTTGAAACAAAGATCTCACCCCCTCGAGCCCCTGAACTATAAGTGACCCAGGATTTTGCCTCTGAGTTTTTGTTTGATTTGGGGCTTACCTGCAAAGACTGGAAGAGGATGGTGCATGGTTCTCAGTCCTTCAGAAGATTTGCTCCAAGGAGAATGCCTGATTTGCCTCTTTTCTGTTTTAGGTTTCAGGTCTCTATTGGTATTAGCATTACAGTCACCAGGAATGGAAGAGATGAGCTGAGAATAGTGTGAATACTCGTATATTAATAGTAGCATCATACACGTAACATAGGGTGCATAAAACAGCATTCACCACACAGTACTACCCATAGAGAGTGCTCGCCTATGTGCCGTTTACCTACACATGTTTTATCTTCTACATCAGGCAACAGTCCTGGCACATTCAAATAGATGAGTTGGAGAGACTTTTTTTTTTTTTTTTTTAATGTTTTTGCCCTAGCGTGCATGCACTTCCCAGAGAGAGATAGAAAGAGGGAAGGTGAGAAATCATCCTCTGGGAGGATGGCCATGCTGCAAACCCTTCTCCTCCATTCTTCTCTTGGGATTTTGAATATGCACTCACATGCATTGGATGTGACTCTCGAGCTACTGGGTTAAAGACTCAAACCACTGTTAGCTATGTGGGAATCTAGAGTCTCAACCACCACGCCACCTGCTGGCCACTAGAGAGACTTTAATACAGGGATTTTTTACAGAATTGTGGGCAGGATGTAGGGAAGTTGCTGGGATAATGCAGTATCCCAGGCTAGAAACAGCAGGGAGCAGTTATTTCTCCAAGGCTGAAGGGACAAGGGCAGGAAGAGGTTCCAGAACTCACAAAATGAGAGATCAGAGTAAAGTGCTGGCCCACAGGGAGAGAGGAGGAAAGTAATACTCCACCAGAAAGGAGATGTATCCCTAAACTCCTTTTTAAAGAGGATTTTGCCTTGGAGGGTATGCTGGAGAGAGAGAGACAGAGACATGAGAGGGAAAGGGAGAAATCTCCCCTTAGGGTTGATGGCCACCCCACAGTCCCTTCTCTTCCATTCTCCTCCCAGGATCTTGAGCATGCACACACATACCAGGCGAGAGTTGCAAGCCACCGTGTCAGAGACTCGAACCATAGTCAGCAATATGGGAGTCCAGTGATGTAACTGCTATGCCATCTGCTGGCTCCGTCCCTAAACTCTTAAGACTGAAGCCTGAGGCCCCTCATTCATATGGGTACCTGGAGTGTAAATGGCTGCTGTGTTGTAAAGTGTTCTGGGAAACAAAATAGTCAGCAACTGGAAGTGCTTCTCTGTAAGTGTTACGTTTTCTTAAATTGATTTATTCTTTACCATGAGAGATACGGTGAGAGTCAGAGAGCGAGGCTTCCCCATCAGGGCCTTCACAGCATAATGCCCCCAAGTCTCCATCAGCCTGGATCACAGGCATGTGGGCATGCACTGTGGTGCTCAGGGAGATCCCAGCACACACACCAGCACCTTTCCCATGTGGGTCCAGCTGTGCCACCATTGTGCCCCACCTGAGACTCGATGAAGTATCTAAAGAGACCTAAGATTAAAGGGATGGGACTCTCCAAGGCTCTAGTTTGCTCCGATTTCTTTTCTCACACATTCATCCTTATATCTAATTATGTATTAGTAGTTCTGTACTTCTATTGGAGCTCTACAGAACCTGGATTTGCCTCTACTTCACTCTCCTAACCTTCCTTGGAGCTGAGGGAAACTTAAATGAAAACATACGGTCTCTGTCCTCAAGAGCCTTAGGAGTGCAGTCAGCGTGGCAGCCTCCTGGTGGCCCCCACACAGTGGTTTCCTTTGTTCCATACCACGCTCTGCAGGTATACACCATTGCCCTGACCATATTATCTTGTCACTGTCTCTCTTCAGTAATCTAGGAGTTTCTTGGGGGCAGGAAGTGATGTCTTTGATCACTTTCCTTTCACACCTAACAAAGAAAAAGAGGAAATGAATGAATGAATGAACAGGTGAATGAATACGATGGGACTGTAAAGGATCACTCTGGAAGGTACAGGCAGAACATAAGGAAGGTATTGGCAAGTATTTCGTCCTTTTTAATTGTATTTTATCTTTCTTTAGATTCATGCACATGAGATTAAAAGTCCTAGAAGTGTATATATCTGTGTACCTTCTTTGTTAAATAGGAAAAAAAATAGAATAAAGAGCACTTACATATTTATTATATTACATATTATGTCAGACTTACCTGGAAAGTATTAAAAAAAAAAACACAGACAGATGATGACAACTGAATTAGTGTTTATATAGGTGGGGGCTGGATATCTGAATTTGTAACAAGCCTTAATTAACTCAGATGCTGACTCCTTGTTAAAACCCACTAGATTAAACTATGTAAGTTGTTTGTTATGTGTTAACATAGATGGGAAATGACCCATGAGTTGCATCTTACATCTGTTGTTTTTGCCTGCTTAACATCCCTTTTTCTAGTAATGATGCTCTGGCTTCCTTTTGGTTGTTCCTCTTCCCCACTCTCAGATGATGTGGCTTGGGTTGAATGGATCCCATGTCCTCAGACTCCCCCCTCCCCGCATACACACTCTTCTACCAACTCCAGGGGTGGAACTGAGACCTTGTGTTGGTTAGTCCCCTTGGTTACAGCGACTAGCTCAGCGAAGAGCCCATGATGTCAGTCCATTAAGACCACACTCTGAAATCCTTATGGGATGTTTTGGGTATGAGAAGCCCTTTTTCTTCTGGGATGGTCAGTTGTGAGGGAGTGAGCCTAGAGTTGTGAGAGTGCCTGTCAGAGAGTGAAACCAACAGGGAAAAATGGATTCTAGGAATGGGAGGCAGGACAAGTCCTGAGACTTCCTTTAAGTCCTCAGTGCCAGCTCTACTTGAAGACACTCAACTTGGAGATACCATGATGCATTCACGTAGGCCAACTTGATCAGGCACACAGTTGGAACTGTCCCAACTTAATTTGTATTAAGGGTGTTTTCTTTCTCTGTAAATTTAATTATAGTTCTTAATAAAAACAAATTGGGGACCAGCAGATGGTGTAACGGTTATGTTGCTGGACTCCTATATAGTTGACCATGGTTCAAATCCTGGACCCAGTAACTTAAAACTCAGGCCGGGTGCAAGTGCATGCATGCCCAAGATCCTGAGAGGAGAATAGAGGAGAAGGGATTGTGGAATGGTCATCCCTCTGGGGGGTTGATTTCTTGCTTTCTGACTCTCTGGTGAGCGCATGCATCCTATAGCAAAAATCTCTCTTAAAAAAATAAAATAAAAACAAATTGAAGTAATTCTTACAGTGATAATAAGAGCTAACACCCACTGGGAACCTATTAGGTACCAGGCATTGTTGTTTGAGAGTGTTACATACACTCAATCATTTAATCCTCCAAATGTCTATCCATGTTCAACATACTTCTTACTTAGGTCACAGAAATATTATGGAGACTTTGCTGGCTATTTAAAAAATCATCATTTAAGTGAGTTTTGTTCTTTAAAAGGTTCAAAGTATATTGCTGCTTCTAGAAGTGTCTCATTGAAGTCGTGAGAGGGTGAGAAAGATGATGGCAGCTACAGTGCCTGATCACAAAGGAAAGTCAGCGGTAGGCTGGGAACACATGAGGAAGTCTCTGTGTGCAGCGGAAAGGTTAGGAGGGTTCTTTTCTCTCTACAAGATTAAATAAGGGTAGCGTACTCTCAGAAATCTAGACTCTTGCAGAAAGAAGACGAATGAGGAAATAACAACACGTTGCCATGGCAGAGGAGATGGGGAGTTGGCTCCTGTGCTATCTCCTGGCAACCATTTGACAAGGAGCTGCACTTGACTTTGAATTGCAAGCAAGGAAGCGACCACTTGGGGATCATTTGTAAGAGAACTTTAATCAAGGTTACCTGGGGGCCTTGAGAGAAGCCCAGATTTATTCATAGAAAACAAAAAGAATTTCAGATACCCTCTCAGTGGACCATTTTCTCATTCTGACTAGTTATCAAAGCAATAATGGTTTTGCTTATGAAAGAGCCTTCCACCTTAATTCTCTGGAAGCAGCACATCAGTCTTATGCCAAAAAGAGATTAGTCCTTCTTTGCAAATGCTTGCACTGCAGGGGCTAAACCATACGGATGATGGAATCTGGGATATTTTATGGAATGGAGTTGCCAAAAATTCTGCCCTGGTCCAAATAAAAGGAAAAAAAATAGAAAGAGGAGCACCGTATTTGGTGAGTAGGGCAACTGAATCATCCTGGCTTACTTCGGACTTTCCTGGTTTTAGCACTGAAAGACCAAGTCCCAGGAAACTTCTTAGTTCATTCAACCGGGAATGCTTTGCCAGAAAAGTGCCTTTCTTTTTTTTTTTTAAGTTTTTACCATAGGGTTCTTGTGCACACTGGAGAGAGACAGAGAGACAGTGAGAGGAAATGTGAGAAATGATCATGCTGCAATCCCTTCTCCTCTATTCTCCTCTCAAGATTTTGGGCATGCATCCACATGTCCCTGGCATGATTCCAAGCTGTCTGGTCCAGACTCAAACCACGGTTGTTCATGTGGGAGTCCAGCACCTTAACCACCATGCCAACTGTTGGCCCCAATTGGTGCCTGTTTTCAAAGGGAAAAATCCCATACCCTGAATGACTTAGTTTGTTCAGCATGCCATAACAAAATACCATAGACTGGGTAGCTTAAACAATAGATGTTTCTTTCTTTCTCTTCTTTTAAAGAATAATTTTATTTAACTTTATTTATTTTTAAAAATTTGACAAAAGAGGGACAGAGCAAGAGCAAGAGCGAGTGAGAAAGAGAGAAAATGACAGAGCGAGTTGCCAGATCCGGCACTTGAACTGTGGTCAGCCATGTGTGAGTACTGTGCCCTTAACCACCATGTCACCTGCCAGCCCCTAGGTGTTTATTACTCATAGTTCTGGAGGCTGGAAGCACAAGATCAGGGTGCCAGTGAATCAGGTTTTAATGAGAGCTCTTTTCCTGGCTTGCAGATGGCTGCTTCATGCCATGTCCTACAACAGTGGAGAGAGAGAGAGAAAGAGAGAGAGAGAGAGTGAGTCAGTCCCTGGTCTCTTCTTTTGAAGGCATTAGTCCAACTATGAAATCCTGCATTTATGACCTCATTGCAATCTAATTATCTCCCAATGGTTATGGCCTCAGTATATGAATTCTAGGGGGGGTATGTACATTCAGTCCATAACATCAGACAAACTGTGACAGACATCTGTGGGTGACTCATTTTCCTCAATGGTCATCTTCTATTTTTAATATTATTTATTGAATTTTATTTATAATTATTGTTTGCTATAGTGCACATGCATTTGCTAGAGAGAGGCAGGGAGACACACACACACATG